TTCCTGGAATGCCTTCATGCAAAATGCCTCCTGTATTTCCCTGGGCTTCACCTCACATTAGTTGTATCCAGCATGGCCAATGATCGATCGTAAGAGCTGGTAAGAGTTCATACTCCAACAGCCTCTGAAGGACCACGGGTTCTCCATGCCTGCTGTTTGTTTTCCTGGGCTCCTTGGAGCAAGGAACAGGATTGTTTTTAAAATGTAAGGAGCAACAATAAAAACAGCATCAAAACTATTAACAACATATTCACAGCTTGAACAAATCACTAGAAAGGCAAACATGCACTGCTGCTGGAATGAACAAGCAAAGCCAACAGAGTTGAGAAACATACCTTCTCCTTCTGCAAAATGTTTGCCAGGCTCTTTCATAAATTCAGTATCTGCAGCTCCTGCTTCCCCACCACACATCACCAAAGCTTCTGCTACATTTACATTATCTGCAGCTTGGGAATAGTTGTTTGTTTGTTTTTAAAGTCATCAGCAGCAAGGAGCAAAGGCCACATCCCTTTGCCTGGTTGGGGCAGCAGCCATGCATAAAACCCTGATTAAGTGCTATGTCTCTCGGGAATCAGTTGGGAAAGTTTGATCTTTTGAGTGCTTTCCTCTCCCACCCTTCACCCACCTGCCCTTCCCCTGTGGAGCATGGCAAACAAGGCAACATTTTGAAGCCATCCATCAACATCCTCTGCCATTTAAACAAGGGAACATTAAACAGCTGGGCCTACCTCTCCGTTTCTCCTTAATCTATCATCTAAAGTGGAACACATTCACCATTACCTGGAAGGACCAGACAGCAGTTTGATACTGCAAATCCAATTAGAATGCCCCAATCAATTATTTTTTCCAGGTTTGGCTTCAGCAAGCAAGGACAGCAAACTAGGAGAGAGGCTCTTCTTTCCTGATGGACTGAGGATCCTTTGCAACAGATGCCAGTGTGTGGAAAGATTTTGACCAAGTGCATTTTTAATACATTGGTCAAGAGGCCTCTTTCACTTAGCTTTTCATTTATTTGATCATTAACCAAGCCTGTCTAAACAGCTTTAATGGGCACCCACTCTTTATGCAAAGCCTCATTTGCTACACCTGAAAGGTCAGCTTGACATCACACACATCCTAAAGGCGTTTCGTTCACCTTTCATGCAGAACATCCAAGTTCCACAAGACACGAGGAAACTGGATGGTCTCTGATTTGTTTGTTTACTTATTTGCAAAAAACGTATGTCTATACACTACCAGTACTAAGGGGGGGGGGCGGGAATATTGGTGATGGACAGAATACAATCAACAATCAAAGTACTGTACATGTATGAAAGAAGTACAAAATCCACCACAAATCAGCAGACCAGACTCTTCTTGTGTTGATGCATTAAAGAGTCCTGCTGGATCAAATCAGAGACCCATCTCATCCAGCACTCTGCTCTCACAGTCACCAACCAGATGTCTTCAGGAAGTCCACAAGCAGAAACCAAGTGCAACAGCAGTTTCCCCACTTGTGATGATCAGCAATGGTATCCAAAGTAGTCATTGATAGCCTTAGCCTCTATGAATTTCTCCAGTCCTCTTTTAAAGCCATCCAAGCTAATGGCCACCGCTACATCTCATGGGAACAAATCCCATGTTTTAATGATGTGCTGTGTGAAGCAGTATTGAATCATCCTACACTGAACTTCACTGGGTGGCCTCAAGGTCCAGCATTATAAGACAAGGATAAACTGTCTCCCTAACTTTCTCCAAGGCGTACATAATCTTACACACCTCAAACCATTTCCCCCATGCTTAAGTTACCCCCTCCCCTTGCTCCTTGCCACTGCCCACCCCAATTATGCTTGGCCACCCCTCTCTTCACCTTGCAGCTCACCTAAAAAAACCCTTCCTTTTAGACCTCACAATCCCTCCTTAGACCTTGTCAGAGAGCCTCTTAAACCTCGAGGGAAGCCCCAGAAGGAAGCATGCTTTTTTTCCTGCAAGTGGCAGCAGCAGTGGGGAAGAACAAAGGGGATAGATTCCCGCCCCCTTGTTCTGCTCCTTTCTACACCACCAGCAGCAACAGCCTAATCTTCTTCATCCTCTTTTGGCAATGGGGGTAGCAGAAGCAGCAACAGTGGGACAATGTGGGGAAAGACTTTCTTTCTTTCTTTGTCTTCACCTGCTATGTAGCAGTGGAGGTGGGGGGGGGATAAAGGAGAGAAAGATTTGGACCTTCCCCTTACCCCAGGGATGGAGGAAGATGGCCAGCGTCTGCGCCAGCCTCTCATCATGCCACATCATCATGTTTCCTGCGTCACCTGTCTGTGACCAAGTGGACTGCAGCATGACAACTTTCTTAAGTTTCAGTGCTTATAGGCAGTGCTTTTTTACCCCTAAAAAGATGTTTAGAGGTACTCTCATTTTCCTACTCATATTGAGAAACTGCCCCTCAATAAAGCCAAACTTAGATTCACAAAATGTTTAGGGGTATGCGTACCCTGTATCCCCCCAGGAAAAAGCACTGCATATAGGAGGGAAAAGACCCAAATATTTCAGCCTCTCTACTGAGGAGTTACGCCACACACTTGATTGCTTTGGTTGCTCTTTTCTGAATCTAGCTGGATTACCCTTCAAGGAAAGCTTGAGTGAACCAATGAGTTCTAAGCATGCTCCTGTATGTCAGTACTTGTAGGTACCTGCCTGATGTTCGTTGGGAGCTTAGCCCTAGTCCTAACTGGAGATAGCACTAACTTCAGGAGCATGCAGTACTACTGTGTCGTTCCCACTTCCCCAAGCATTAGGAAGTTTCCGGGGTAGCTACTGCAGGATTAGTTTTTCTTGAGGTGGGCCTTCTGGAGACCTATGGTATCTTTTGGAATTTGTTAATTTGGAAACATATTGAACGCGAGGGAGCAGGTGGGCATCTAGACAAAGGTCGTGTGTGAGAAGAATTAGTTCTTTCCGAAACAGGTGGCATCCACCTCCGCCACCTAACCCAGTAGTTGAGTGGGAGAGCTGAAAATAATGCCAATATATTTCACATCTGGCGACCAATGCACCCCTCTGGTTTCAAATAAAGTGGTACCTCACTGTAGTTAAGAACTTAATTCGTTCCGGAGGTCTGCTCTTAACCTAAGGTACCACTTTAGCTTATGGGGCCTCCCGCTGCTGCCACACCACCACCACATGATTTCTGTTCTCATCCTGAAGCAAAGTTCTTAACCCGAGGTACTATTTCTGGGTTAGCGGAGTCTGTAACCTGAAGCGTCTGTAACCCTAGGTACCACTGAAGTAAAGAAGTCTAAAAACCCCAGGAGAGAATTTTTCACAGCCCTCTAGTGGCTATGGTGGCTCATAACTCAGGAAGTGTATACAGTGGTACCTTAGTTCTCAAGTGCCTTGGTACTCAAACAACTTGGAACCCAAACACTGCAAATCTGGAAGTAAGTGTTCTGGTTTGCAAACTTTTTTCGGAAGCTGAACATCCTCTGTTTTGAGTGTTTTGCTTCCGTTTTGAGGGCCACATTTCCATTTTTAGTGTTACGCTGAGGTCTGTTTTTGCTATTTATTTTACATTTTTGTGGGCTCTTTTTGCTTTGTTTTTGTGACTGTGTGGAGCCCAGTTCAGCTACTGATTGATTGTGTGACTGCAGTACATTGTTTATTGCTTTCATTTTATGGATCAATATTCTCGTTAGATAGTAAAATTCATATTACATTGCTGTCTTAGGGGTTGTTTTTAAAAGTCTAGAACTGATTACAGTAATCCATTTTGCATTACTTTCTATGGGAAAGTGAACCTTGATTTTGGAATGCTTTGGTTTTGCAACGGACTTCTGGAACGGATTAAGTTTGAGAACCAAGGTACCACTGTACCCAATTCTTTCTTTCTTTTAAAAAAATTTTTATTAAAGATTTCTTGGTTTACAAAAGTATGTACAATGTCTCTTTTTTCAAGTTACATTTTCTACAGATCAGTTTCACTTGTTGAGACATTAGTGTTACATTAGGAAGAAAGGGGGGGGAGAGGTGGAGGGGGTGTGGTGAGTGGGGGTTAGGTCGGGTGGCAATACTTGTTTTGTGTCAGCGTCGCTTGTGTGGGTTCTATCCTAACCAAACTAAGCCTCCCGGTGTATATTTTGTTTCAGGAGGCGGCCTTCTCTGTGGTGACACCCTGCCTCTCAATTCCCCCCCCCCCAAATCAGGTCCACTTTCTACAAAGCCGCTGAAGAACACATCTTTTTGCCAGGCTCCATTTACTTTCCTCCTCCTCCTCCTCCTCCTCTTCTTCTTCTGGAACTCTGCTTTTCATCTGGCTGTGCTATTGTGTTTTATTGAACGTGCTTCCCTTCAGTGATTTCATCTGGCCGTTTAAAATATTACATTGTTTTGAAATCTTGTTTTTCTTACTATTAAAATATGAACTCTATTTTTGTATGCTGCCTAGCCTCCAAATCATTGCTAGGCGGTGTACAAAAATAGCATTTTGGCCTGTGATTACCATCTCGTAAACCTTGCAAGCTGCTCCATGAATCTCTCTGTGTTGAAGGGGGAGGGGGGGACACACACACTATATGTTAAATTAGGAGCCAGGACTCTTAAGCCGTCTTGCAAAGTGAAATACACAAAAAACCATTTAACAAATTCAGTCACTTTTGGCTAAATAAAGTCTGTTAAGTGGGTTGGCTAACCTTGCTTTCCTAAATTACCCCTCAATCAGGTTGCTTCTCACTCTTTCCTCTGAAAAGCACATATTCAAATCAGTGTGCATGGAAGCAAGTATGTTGGCACATGCATTATTGACTAATTGCCCTTTTGAAAGTGCATCTCACTGAGCGCAAAAACAATGTTAAGCAGGCATCTGTGTGTGGGGGCATAGTTCAATCTGTTCTCTCCCCCACCCTGAAACACCAGCGGTTCAATCAGGACAGGACTTTGGGACAGGTGTCCAGGGCACACACACACACACACCCCACAAAAGACTGCAGCTGGCTTCCCACATTTTGAAATAATACACATGTACCACCAAATTGCATTTTATTATTTGCAGTTGTTTATTAGGGGGGAAGAAGTTGTTTTATCATTGCATTTCACACAGTAAGACAAATTTATGTAAGTCACCTAGAGAAGTTTCATAGGCAACAAATAAATCTGATGAAATAAAACAACAGCTCCCCATAAAACCATTAAATATAGAATCTCAAAATTATCTATCATTTTCCTGAAGCTCATCCAAGAATTGGCACAGCCAGTCATCAATTATTATATTATTCTCTTGATCTAAAATAAGCACAATATGCAGCATTTCCCTGGTTCGAAAGGTCTTCTAAAAACAAACCACTGATTAAATACTGCAGCTCCACTGTTAAAAGCCTTCTCCCCTCCTTGGGCAGAACAGCTAAGAGCATGGGGAGGTGGTCTTGACAGAGAGTTGCCCCTCCAACCACAAGTTTGCAACAGGTGCTTGAGAGAGAATAACCCCCAAAAGCTGGCTACTACATGAAATAAACTGGAATAATTTAGCATTTCTCAGAAAGGCACAGTGGCAGACTAGAGAATGTCCTCAAACTGCGAAAAAGCACAAAGTGATGTAGTCAGTCGGACCCGCTGGCTTCTCCCTGTTGATCCTTGACCTCTTTAACGCTGCTCTCATCGAAGTGCTCCAGGGAGGCAGCATGCTGAATAGCCAACTCAGACACCAACATGGTGGGGAGCTGGCTCTGCTCAGGGTGCAGCCAAGGCTTCACATCCATGTTGTGCTCCTGCTTCCAGGCGGGGTATTCCATGCAAGCTTTATGCAGCTTCCTCATCACCTGATCCCGCAAGCCGGGGTGGGGGGTGGGGTGGGGTGGGGTGTGGAGAGAAGAGAGAAGGTCAAAACACACCCACATTGGACTTCTCTGTGTGATGAGCGCAACAGCAGGAGAATCCCACATGAACCTGGAACTGTACCACCCACAGGGTGGGCACCACTACCACAGGGTGGGCACCACTACCGAGAAGGCCCTCTGCCTGTGTTTTTGAACTTTGCTAACGCTTCTGGCTTGCCTGGATGGAGAATGCAGTGGGAGTTTATGTAAACTAGCCAGCTATACAAAGCTAAAATCTGCATTCACTGCTCCACCCCCTTTGGCCTCTGAACCTGCCCACCATGGGCACCTGGTCCCCAGGCTGAAAAAAAGGTCCTCCACTTCTACTACAAAAGTGGGGCCAAATCACTATTCCTATATGGCAGTTGAAGGGCTATGGCAGAAAAACAGGGGCTTGCTTAAGACCACCTAGTGGGTTCATCAGGGTAGAGGAAATATTCAGACTGAGGACTTTCTGATTCACAGCTCAAGAAGAAGAAGAAGAAGAAGAAGAAGAAGAAGAAGAAGAAGAAGAGGAGGAGGAGTTTGGATTTGATATCCTGCCTTTCACTCCCTTTAAGGAGTCTCAAAGCTGCTAACATTCTCCTTTCCCTTCCTCCCCCACAACAAACACTCTGTGAGGTGAGTGGGGCTGAGAGACTTCAAAGAAGTATGACTGGCCCAAGGTCACGCAGCAGCTGCATGTGGAGGAGCAGGGACGTGAACCTGGTTCACCAGATTATGAGTCCACCGCTCTTAACCACTACACAGCCTCTTAGCCCACTGTGCTCCATAACCAACAACGCAGGGGGAATCCCCCTCTCTGGGCAGAGAAAAAGGGCTTTCTGCAAATCCATCTCACTTAGTATTACACTAGCTCAACTGATGCTCCTCACAAGAGGAACCAGATCACTCAGGAGCCCAAGATAGCTCAGATGGGAGAGCATGAGACTCTTAATTTCAGGGTGGTGGGTTCGAGCCCCATGGTTGGGCCAAAGATTCCTGCATTGCAAGGGGTTGGACTAGATGACACTTGTGGTCCCTTCCAACTCTTCAGCTATGAATCTGCCTCACTCACCTGTGGTCCCAGGAATTGAACAGCTTTGTTCACAATCCACTTGGGCAGAAATCCTAGTTTGGAAAGGGGGGAGAGGCAGGAAAGATGGGGGGGGGAATTAATCTTGGTCACATACACAGCATACATTTAAAGCACATGCCCCCCGACCAAAAAAAAAAAAAGAATCATGGGAACTGTAGTTTTCTCCTCAGAGATAGATGAGCGGGTGCATGATTGCTACTGACAATGGACTGCGGCAAACAAATCTCCCATAATGCAGATGTTGGAAGCTGATTTGCAGTAGATGAAAAATCATCTAGCCTGTCTAGTGTTTGCAATTCATTTTTAAACGGTTAACAGGTAACTCACATTTTATGTGAGGGTTCGGTTCTGGGGGTCCATGTGTATATGCAAAAAAAATACTCAAGCCAGTAACCCCGGAAGCGCCAATTTGGAGGGCTGTTTACCTATCTCTGGGAAGCAGCAGCTAGGGCTCTGGCAGGGTGGGTCCTAGAGTCCTCCCTCCTGCTTCTGAAAGCCTAGTAAGCACTTGCAGAGCTTTGGGAAGGAGGAAGGATGGCTTTAGGACCATGCCAGGACCCTCACGCCTCCTTCCCAAATCCGGCCATCTCCCTTACCCAGCTTTGGAAAGGTGTTACAAGGGCTCTGGGATGCCAGAGCCCCTGCGCCACCTTCTGAAAACTGAGTAAGGCTGCAATTACAGCATTGCATTGTGGGGGGAATAAATGCAGAGTGGGTTTCCTTCGCTCTCCATTTGTTTATTTATTCGCGCACCCACACAAAGCTGAATTCAGGTAAGTAAAATAAGTGTAGGATAGAATCATAGAATCACAAACCTGGAAGATGCGAATTAACTGTATCTCCTACACAGAGCCTTTATTCTTTTTTAATCTACTTGTTTTTTCTCACTTAACACTTTGGCCGCAACTGAGAAATCTGGTTGCTCACTGTGACTAGAAAATATTCCTTCTCTTCTTCTTTTTATTCAAATTCAGCTTTAAAGAGTTATATGGCTTGTGAAGCATACATGCTTTTCATGAAGCAGGTTTGATCACAAAGCAAGATACAGTACTTCCTTTGATCCTAAAACAGCATTTCTATCCTAGTAAAGGTAAAAGGTAAAATAGTACTCAACAACAAATTAATCAACAACTTTCCCACAAGGATCTTATTACTCACCTGATGACTGCAACACAACTTACTATGGCAAAGGTATTAGAAGATTCAAAATGTATATTTTGCTCTATTTTTTATTTTATTTTTTGAAATAGTTTTTATTTGATTTTACAAGTATGTTATTTATAACAATGCTACCATTCACATCCACATTTACAGATTCCTCTGAATCTCTAGACTTCCCACCTCCCCTCCATGGGTCCTTTTATTAAACCTTTTCCTGCTAATGTTTCCATCTGCTTACAGTGGTCTCCAAGATAGATTATAAAATTTTCCCATTCTTTATTGAAGTTTTGGTCTTCTTGGTTCCTGAGCTTTCCAGAACTAAGCCTCCAGAACTAGGCGGCTTAGTTTGGTCAGAATTGAGTATTCCCTTCCAGAGTCAACATGAAATACATTACTTCTGACAAAGGAGCCACCATAGTTGCTAGAGGGCCTTGAACATTTGTGTCCTAGGCTTTTTAGACTCTTCTAAAATAGTCTAAATAGTCTATAGAATGCTGACTCACCTTTAGGGTCAAGCAGTGCCAGGTAAGTCAGCTTGCAACTGTCGCGTCCAGTTGGTTGCACCAGGTATCCAGCCAAACGTGAGGCAGCCCGCACTGTGTCCTTGCGTGGAGGGTAATTCTGCACAGTAAAAAGCCAGGCAATCAGCTGATGGACCAATTCCTGGTATAGAGGCCTCCCCTTCCCCTCCTTCCTGAGACTGAGTTCCCCTCAGGTAACTAAGGGGTAGTCAACAATCAGTTTAGTGTGCCAGCCAAAGCCCATGGAAACTGCATTGTAATACACCAAAATACAGAAGTAGCAATAATATACATCAACACATCAATAACAGAAGGTAGGCTTCAAAGGACTGGACCCTAAATCCCAAGAGGCTGCCAACTTTACCACCAACAGGTCAGTCGTGTGAAGGGTCTCAGCTCCATCATCCAGAGAACTAAGCATTGTAATAAAGCAGAAGGCCACAGGTTTAATCTCACCAGGGTGAGCCTGGGAGAAAGCCCTGCCTGAAACCCCAAAGAGCTGCTGCTAGTAGTCGTCATTGAGCTAAATGGAGCTAATGGTCTGACTCAGGGCTCAGCCACACTTCCACTGCTTTCCCCTGGGGAAAACTCATGGTTTAGCACTGAATTAGAACAAATGGCAACTGGGTTTTCCACAAGATTGATGCCTGCTCCGATTCACCGCAAAAGAGTGGGTTTTCCCAGGGAACGCGGCAGAGCAAACAGAAAACCACTCAGACCTGTGCCTAAAAAGCATGGGACAAGTGGAATAAAAAATCACTTTCTAGGCAAGGGACAAATGTGGAAGTGTGAACAAGCCCTTAGTATATGACAGTATATTCAGCCGTTGTGGGTCTCATGGCGTACTTATCAAGCAGGTGGATGAAGCTCCATTTCCCTGATGAAATGCTATGGTGGGTCTCTGAGAGGAGACCCACCCCCCAATCCATTACCCACCTGAATCCCATAGTTTCCCCCCTGCTCACTTACCGGATGTTTAACAGAGAAGTTCATGATAATATAATCCTTATCCAGGACTTTCCATGATCTCAGAGTCACCACATCTCTGTTCCTCAAGGGCTTTGGGCACTTCCCTAATCCAAGGGAGATGGTAGGGAGTAGAGAGAGAAGGCAGCTCAACATTGCATCTACACATGCTGATCACATTCAGTTGCTAATGATTTCATCTAAATTTGTACTCATTCCTATATATTCCATTTTCCATATTCATTGTATATCATTCATAAATCTATTTCATAAGATTTCCATTTTAAATTTCTATTAAGCTTTGAATAGCAGTAAGGCGAGTGATTTGTTGCCGTTGCAATTACAAGTCCCAGGCACCTTAGCTTTTTAATTAGAATGGCGGGGGGGGGGACGGGACAGGACACCCGTGTTGCATAAACAAAAGTGAGAGCTTAACTTGCTTTGGCAAAGCAACACAGGGAATGTGTCAAAGGTCCAAGCAGGTTGTCTCAAGTAAAAGAGGCCTTGCACACAGATCCTATTCCCCTCATCCAAGCACAGAGCCCCCTGGAGGAAAAAGTACACCACCTATGCATGAAAGGAAGGTATCAGAAGCAGGCAACATTTGCAGAAATAGAAAAGTGGGGGGCAGGAGGAAGAGGGAAGAGGAGAAGGACAAGCAAGCCAAATGCCTTTTGAGGACTGAGCATACTGTACTGACTGTTGAGAGTCTGTTGGAGGGAGAGGGGAAATGGAACAGGGTAGCCTGAAATCAGGCATGGCTGGCTGGAAACCTTAACAGGAATTCTTTATGCTACAACTATGCGTTAACAGGTCCAGCTTATAATGGTGACCCAGGGAGAGATGCAAGGCAAATGCATCTCACACACCCCTATATGTTGTAGACTATACAGCTCTATGAGCCTGAACCTTCCTTTCCACCAAGTTGTGTTTTTTTTTTTAGCAATGTCCATTGCTACTCCCCAAGGCTATTTAACCTCCAGAAAGAAGGCAGCCAGGCAGCTAAAAATCAGGCATCGTGGAGGGAAGGCATTCTCTCTCTTACACAAAACAGAATACCCATTTCAAATGCTGAGCAACTTTCAAGCCAGGGGCCTGCCTTAACACTGCCAGAATGTTTCTGATCAATCCATCTAACACAGCTCTCTTCCACCACCTTGAGTCCACAGATATTGTTGTCTCATCAGCCTATCAAGTTAGGCTGCCTGGCAATGATGAGGGTGGTAGTACTAACGAGCTAAAAGACTGAACCATGGATGGAGAACCTCAGGAGTCCCCAAAGGCCTTACACCCATTCTGACTCAGCACTCTGGCTTTGCATTCTTCTGTGACTTCTTTTCTGTCCCTGAACCAAGATAGTGATTATTGCTTACCTAGATGGGATGAGGATAGAAAGGGAAGTGTGTGTGCAAAGAAACTAGCTTACCTTGTGAATTTTGCCTTTGCATTTATTTTGCCTCTGGCCTCAGCCACCACTAGCATTCAGCCCTGGGCAGGCTCTCCAGGGGGGGAATGTGTCCCTTGGGTGGAAAACGGTTTCACAGCCCTGGACAAAGCTGTATAGTCCTCTCCATAACACTCTCATTACAACAACCTAGAGCGGCTCAGCAGATATAGTTTTGCTGCTGGCTAAGGACCACACGGGATGTGGTTATTATCATGTAGCGTGGTGTTCCATAGATGGTTTTTTTTAGAGAGAACACCACCAAATCAACAACAGGTGGAAGGTAGCTGGATCACGACCACATAACATAGTTGAGGTGGATCTTTAAGCAGCGGAGGCTGGTCCATGAGGCTGAATGAGGTACTGCCCCAGAGAAGGAAGGCACCCCACACCCCAGACTACTAATCCTCCCAGTGTCTTGAAATTTCATCACACATTGCTTACATACCTGCAAGATTACCTTTGCAAACCTCATAACTAGAGGGTTAATCCGTTGCAGCGGAAACAACAAAGAGAGGCTTGTGGCACCTTAATTACAGGGATAATTCACAAAGTAGGGTTGATTCGATGCCAGGATGTTTTTTATAAACACTACTTTCGCAACGGTCAGTTCCATTATTTTACATACACCTAAGCGTCAGTGTTATCATCCTGTTTCCATTTCTCTCTGAACTCCTCTGCTAACTTTTCTCAGGCTGACATTCCACAATTCCTGATCCACATAAGTCCAAGCCATCAGAAATGTGCCACAAGACTTTGGCTGCTGAAGAGGTAGGAACAGGGATGGGGGACTTGTGCCTGCCCAGATGTTGTCCCACCAGCCTCAGACAGCATGGCGAGTGATGGAGGAGGGTGGGTGTTTGTGGTCCTTGGAGCCAGGAACTTTAAAGCTTAGGAACCCACCAGCATTTTTTTCTGAGTTTGGTACCAAATCTTCATTGTGTTTGCCAGGTACCCCCATAACTCAGTGGTGGGAAACATCAGGCCCAGATGCCAACAGTGGCCCTTTAGGCCCCTCTATCAGACCCCTAGGATTCTCCCCGGGATACACTCCTCACCCTTGTCACTTCAACACCCCCTTGAGTGTGTTTGCATGGCTGGAATGCAATGGCCTCTTCCTTGGCTGGATGGAGAAGAGGGAAGTGCAAATGTGAAGGAAGTAGCCTATTGTGCAAAGGGGAAATTTACATTTGCTCTTCCACTCCATTTTGCCCCTGGCCTTGACCCTCATGGGCACATGACCTCTGGAGGATTGCCCAGGTGGTAATGTGGGCCACACCTGCACTAGTTTGTGTGGTGGTATTGGGGTGCCCATCCTTACTTACATTCATAGTAGCTAATATCAGCATTGTCTGTGAGACGAGCGATCTGATGCGTCTCAACAAGGTTTATGTCCCACATGCTGCGGTACTCAGTGTCATGTAGGACATCATAGGCTGTCTCTGCGGAGACCCCTGCCATGTCAATCATGCCCTGCAGGTGGAAGGAAGAACACTGTCAAAACACCACAGTAGTGAACAACCTCAGACCATGGTGTAAAATGGAACAATCTTGCCGAGTGTCTGCTTTGGGTGCGAAAGGTCACAGGTTCAATCCCTGGCCTCTCCAGGTAAGGCTGGGAATGCCTCCCATCTGAAGCCCTGGAGAGATGCTGCCATTCAGTGTAGACCATACTGAGCTTGATAGACCAACTTGGTCAGTGTTTGAATGGAATATCAACCGGGGAACTTTGCATACACCACCTTGAACCCTGTCAAAGAAGAAAGAAGGGAAATCATGCTTATATAAATAAAACCTGTTGTAGTGTTTACATGACCACTGGACCAAGGAACGAACCTTGGTTTCAGGAGGTAGAAGCTTCTCAACCTCACCTAGTCAATGAAGTCCACTTTACTGCTTTGAATAGTTTGTCCAGCAATTTAGGGAAGCTGTGAAAGCTGGTGAACCCTGGGTGCAAAATGTTCTAAAGCACAGTTACCCAAATTGTGGTTTGTAGGCTTCACTCAGGTGGTCCACACTCTTTGGGATGTCTGTGAAGTACAGCAGATGCAGCAGCTGTGAACAGCAGCTTCTCTGTCGTTCTCATAACTAGGTAGTCTGAACTGGCTGGGATGGACCAGAAGCACACCCACCTTTCACTTGAAGAAGCTGGGCTGAAAATAGTTCCTTCACCCCTGATCTAAGTAGGCAGGCCAAACCACATGAAGCAGATCAGATCCAGTGCTTAATACCCGAAGCCTATCCTAAGTCATCTTCCACCCCCTTTCACAAGGTGCATTTGGTGGGGCACAAGAGCTACAGTAGGTTTAGACAGGGCACTCATCGAATGTATTTTTCGCCTGCCAAAAGAGGCTCAGCAGGCCTCCTGCATCTAGTTCCAGGGAGGTGGCAAAAAACCTTTGTCAATCACTATCATCACAATTACAGATCTGCCACTAAATTGCAATCAAGCAAATACAAATTTCACAGTGTGCAAGAGATTATTTGGGATGAGCATCATGGCAAAGAACTAGGATATGTGTACATGATGTTGCACATTCACAAACCCACTGGAATGAATTGTCAAGAGCTAGTGTGGCTGGTAAGAAGCTTTACTCATCTGGCTCCCAATAAGACATGCTGATGCGCGCGCGCGCGCACACACACACACACCACTTTTGTCTTCTGCTACACCTGAACGAACTCACTACTATACAAATGTATAAGGTAGGCAAGTATTTAAAATAAAAACACTGAATATTAAAATAGACAACTATTTTAACTGCAAAAGGATCCAAGGATTTTCTCTGTGTAAAGCACACTCTTTACAACTGAGCTATGGTCCTTTGCACTAATAGGACAATACATGCTCATTAACACATCAGATAATCATGCAATGACCAAATACTACCATAGGTGGGGGGCGGGGAGAGGGCAGGAATCACCTAGTCATCCACCCCCCACTCTTCATGCTAAAATTAAATTAAATTAAAGTGCCTAGTTTGGTGAAGAGTTGTTACCAGACCGGCTCTATCACTAGGGCATTGGTGGCGAACCTTTTAGAGACCAAGTGCCCAAACTGCAACCCAAAACCTACTTATTTATTGCAAAGTGCCAATCATAATAATGATTGCCTGCTTGCGTGCATACAAAAAATATACTGTATTTTTCAGGTATTGGACTGCCCACACTATACAAGGCACTTCCGCCGCTGACTATCTACTGCTTGTGGCATCAACCAAACCAAACCCAGCATAGGGGGTGGGGCCGCACGGCCGCATACTAGCATGTTGGCGCCTGCGCAACTCCCCCTGATGCTGATGTGGTCACCGCGCACTTGAGGAGCATTTCACGCACACACTGGGGGGGGGGCTGCACACTTTGCCAACACACAGCAACAGCACTGATGGGCCGAAGGCGCATGTGCCAACAGAGAGGGCTCTGAGTGCCCACTCTGGCAGAAGTGCCATAGGTTCACCACCACTGCACTAGGGAAAGTAGGTGGTTGCTTATGGCCACTGATCTGGCTTTGTCATGAAAAGGCAGCAAACTGTTGATTATTTTGGATGCTCTTCCCTCACCACTAGAAGGTCAATGGCCAATCAGGCATCACCCCCAAAGAGGAAGTGCATTTGCTAAAGTGGACATCAATTTGCATAATATTTGCATAAGTTCATGTATATGTATTAAGAAGAATCCCCTGGATCAGGCCAAAGGTACATGTAGCACACCATCTTGGTCCCACAGTGGCTAACCAGATGCCTCAATGCAATGCCCAAGAGCAATTTGTGGAGCCTACCTCACAGGGTTGTTGTGTGGATTTTTTAAAAAAAGTTAGTCATGTATACATGCAGCCACTGGACCCATTTATCTTCTGCCCACGTCTGGTCCAGTGGGTGCATGTATACACGACTAACTTTTTTTAAAAATCCACACAGCAACCCTGTGACGGTAGGCTCCACAAATTGTTGAAAGAGCCACCAAGCTCAAGCAGACAGAGAAGAACAAACCTGTGGTCACCAAAAGGGTATTTTAGGGGTGTGTGGAGAGATTTTAACCAGATCTGCCTGGTCTTCATCTGACATTTTAACTCGGGCAGGCAAGGGATTGGGAAGCAGATATCTTTTACACACTATGGTCCATACTAATTTCCAGCAACCTTCTAGGGGCTGCATGCCAGAAGCAAATGGGGGCAGCTTTCCTTTGCACAGTGAAAGTCAGAAGTTTTTACACCCATTTAATGTGCAAGCAAGAGGCATTATTGCCGATCAATGACAGGTTCCAGTCAGGAAACAAAAGACAGATGTAGAGGGTATGGCCTGGAAAAGGTCTGGGGGCCATATACAGAGGTATTGAGGGCCACATTTAACCCCATTTCCCTACCCCGCCCCCTTCTAGCTGGCTCTTGGAAAAAGTGTGAGAAGCCAACTTTTTCCTATTTCCCATCCTTCAAATGCATTAAACCAGAGCCCAGCACTAGTCTAGCATGGGTGCTTTGTAAATCACTGAGTCATTCTCCAACTTCTTCATTGGCTAGCAAATTAACAACCAAACGGAATGTGGGGAGTGATTGCTACATTCTCCACCAATTATTTGAAAAGCTCTTTGGTCTGACATCCCATGTAAGGGAGGTTTCCTGTTGTTGTCACCCAATAAAAATGAGAAAGAGACAAACAATGACATCATGGAAGTGGGCAGCCTTTTTTTTTTTCTTTTTTCTTTTGGGCTCCATGGTCATCCTGCCATTTCTGAGTTACACTTGTCCATTCTACTTAGCCTACCTTCCCCAGTGCACACCACACAATGTTCACCACAGGCATGAAAATTGTCCTATGATCACTGTAGCTGCCTGCCTGGACACAGCAGGCCCTGAAGGAATGCACTTTCAACTGTGAGGCAGTATGGTGTAGTGATTAGAGTGTCAGACTAGGACATGAGAGACCAGGGTTCAAATCCTCACTCAGCCATGAAGCTCACTGGGTGATCATGGCCCAACCATTGTCTCTCAGCCTAACCTACCTCACAGGGTTGTTGTGAGGGTGAAATGAGGAGCAGAAGAACTATATACACCACCTTGAGATCTTCAGAAGATAAACACAATAAATATATAAACACAATAAATAAATACATTTGAAAAATGCACAAGCTCAACAGGACTGGAATCTGACACTAGTACTCAAAAAAGCTCAGGGCATTTGCTGTGAGTGGGATGAAGTTCAGCAGATATTCTATAATACACTCTCTCTTCTGGTCTTCTAAAAATCGAGAGGAGGACTTCTATTGAAGTGTTCTCTAACTGTGAAAGGAGCCAGTTGTCTACACCTCTCAGCCTAACTACTTCACAGAGCTGTTTGTGAGGCTGGAAGAAGAAGGGGGAGCAGACATCCATCCTTTAAAAAGCAGGGATGGGAAACTGTGGCCCTCCAGATATTGTTGGACCAGAACTTCCACCAACCCAGGCCATGCTGGATGGGAGTCCAACAACACCTGGAGGGTTACAGACTCCCCACCTCTGCTTTAAAAGGGCAGCAGGGTTAAAATGCAACAACCAAAAGTTCCATATCACAATTCCAGCAGGCCAATTGTTGCAAGGGAGCACACACTCAGCCAGGGGCGCCAGCTCCAGGGGGGCAAGCCATTTTGGGGCCTCACTATGTTTTGGGGGGGTGGGCTGGTGAGGGCCACCGTCCAAAAAGTGCAAAGGCTCCTTCTCCTCCTCTGAGTGCAGAGTCACCCTCGTAAGATGACAACTCTGCACTCAGCTAAACTCATTTTACTGCTGCTTCATGAGTCCAGGGCTGACCCTCCAGTGTCCTAGATACAAGACATTAAGTGATCTTCAGTACACACCCTTGGGACAATCTCCCCCCAAAAAACATGACAACAGCCTGCAGGATCAGGCCAATAGGCCAGCATCCTGTTCTCACAGTGATCCAATGGATTCCTATGGGAAGCACATAAGCAGGCCATGCATGAATCACTGGCTTGGGTCCTACCCTCCAGGGCAGCAGAAAGCAAACCAGTTTAATCTTCTATATAACAGCCCTTCAAATATTTGATGCTATTACATCACTTCTCCAGGCTAAGCATACCCAAGTCTTACTTTCTCCTCTATGGACTTGGGTCTCCAAGCAACACTTTGTTTTGCTCTTCATACGAACATTTCAAAGTTTACAATTGAATTACTGCAGATCCAAGAGATGGGCTGTACTCTCTGGGATCTGAGTAAGGGCCCAATCCAGCCTGGAACTGATCTGGGGGCCATGCAAAGTCAAGTGGAGATGGGGAAGAAGTACCACACCTCCCCCCCACACTGTATGCTTAGTCAGGGTTTTAAACCACGTGTAAGCATCTGGCCAGGGAGGGAAGGCAAGGCATGCAGGCCATAGCTGCCAACTTTTCCCTTTTCTTGCGAGGAATCCTATTCAGAATAAGGGAATTTCCCTTTTAAAAAGGGTAACATTGGCAGCTATGATGCAGGCTACTTGTGTGTGTCCTTCTCCCCCTCCTCCCCGCTACCAAACCTCTTGTGACAACCCCAGATCACTCCAGGTGGACCCGATTCAGTTTGGTTTCCTACTGAATTTAGTGCACAGCCCTACATGGAAGGCAAAAGCTGAATTAAGCAGCACTTGTGAAAATTGCTATTCTCCTAGAAGAGCAAACAGTGGTGCATCAGCGCATCAGCTACTGGGCTGATGTATCTTTGGACAAGACGTCATGAAACATTGGCATTATTATTGTTTAGTCTCTGCCCGTTATTACATGTGTAAGAGAAGGCAGCTTTCGCAAGCTATGCTAAAGTTCATCGCAATTCAGTTATCAGCTACGCAGGCAGCAGTTGGATTATACATCCTAACTGAAAAATAGTTCCAATCAAGCTTAGCCCCTACCAAGTTTTCTTCCATATTAAACAGCATTCCAGGCCCCTCATCTCCATCAATCCCAGATACCAGCCTTCATTTCACTCTTTGATTAACACCTTTTGGGTACACTCTCTCTGCCTGTGAACAAAGCTGCATACAGGAAGGGTACATGATTTATTTCTTACCAAGGGAGTTCTGTTTCCCTGTTTTTATCCCTCCTCAATGCCTGCAAAAAGGTACTGTTTTGTCGAGCCTTTTTCATATGTCAATGATGTTGGCTGCTGCTAACTGTGCTGCTGAAGTTCTTTCCTGCTGGTGTTGGGGGTTGCATTGTGTATTTTTATGGGGTTTGTTACCTGGGCTCTTAAATATGTTGTACATTGCCCAGAGTGTTCTTTTTATAATCTTTAACAAGAGAGTACCCAGTTTTAAAAATAATAATACGTATGTGGTTCTCCTCCCTGCCCCCACTTTAACACAACAAAATTCCTGTGATGCAACAGGTGAGCTTCATGGCCAGGTGGAGACTTGAACCAGTCCAACACTAACCCAAGACCGCATACCCCTGGCCTTCCAGATGTTGCTGGGCTCCAGCTTTCATCAACCCAGCTAACCAATGATCCAAGATGATGGAGTCCAGAACACCTGGAAGGTCACAAGTTTTCCATCCTTGTTGTTACCATGTACAGTGGTACCTCGGGTTAAGTACTTAATTCGTTCTGGAGGTCTGTTCTTAACCTGAAACTGTTCTTAACCTGAAGCACCACTTTAGCTAATAGGGCTTCCTGCTGCTGCTGTGCTGCCGGACCACGATTTCTGTTCTCATCCTGAAGCAAAGTTCTTAACCTGAAGCACTATTTCTGGGTAAGCGGAGTCTGGAACCTGAAGCGTATGTAACCTGAAGCATATGTAAGCTGAGGTACCACTGTATGCACACTGCAAGCTAGGTGACCTCAGGCCCTGGCCGCACACTCTTCTTCCCAGGGCTGCCCCCCTCACTAGCCACACTTCACATCCTGGGTGTTTCCTGCATGAATGGTGTGTGCCTTGGAATTGAGACGATGGTGCCTCTTGGTTGTGTGAATGGAGAACAGAGAAAGCAATGTGAGTGTGTGTCTAGAAACTATTCTACAGCACCATTGCTCTACCCACTTTTGCCTCTGCCTCCACCTGGAACCTCATGTGGACCTCAAATGTTTCCTGGGTTGAAAAAGATTCCCCACTCTTGACCAGCTCCAGTGGCGTAGCATGGGGGGTGCAGGGGGGGCTGGCCGCACCGGGTGCAACATCTGGGGTTAGGGCAAATCCACAGGTTAGGGGGCGCAAATCCACGGGTTAGGGGGCACAAATTACTTGCCCTGCCCCGGGTTCTGACAACCCACGCTACGCCACTGACCAGCTCTCAAATGGCGACACATCCTCAGAGTCAACTCCTGAACCCAAATAACTCCCAGGAACGTTGGAAAAAGCCTGTGGCATTCAACAAACAGCGCTGCAAAAGCTTATGTACATTTAAGCATTATATGACTTTAATCAAGACTCAGTCACTTTTCAGCCCTGCTGAATTAAGGACATGTTTTTATTACTTTTTAAAGTAATGATTTATAGCCTGTTCCCCCTCCCCCTCCCAGCATGCATTTAAACGAAAGACGACGCAGAAAAAGCTACAAGGAAAGTGCACACATATAGAACTACTGCCAATAAAAAATAAAATAAGGAAAGCTTAATAAATATCAGGGGGTTAGGCTAGAAGACCCTCATGGTCCCTTCCAACTCAATAAGTCTGTGATTCTGTGAAATGTGTCCACACCATTGCTGCAGGGAGAAATCACCAAAGGCCAAAGAAAGGAAGTTTCTCTTGTTGCAACCAGTAAAAACCTAAGAGTACTTAATCTTGACTGGATCAAGCTCTTCCCCACCTCCTGCTCTACTTGCTCCAAACCCAGACAATTTGTCCACTTAACTCAATGTTGTCCACACTGATGAGCAGTGAGTTGCCAGAGTTTCTAGAGATGCTGAGGATTGAACCTAAAACCAGTGCTTTTTTTCTGGGGCTACGCAGGGACATGAATACCCCTAAACATTTTGTGAACCTAACTTTGACCTCATTGAGGGGCATTATTTCAATACGAGAAGGAAAATAAGAGTACCCCTAAACATTTTATTAGGGGGGGGGAACACTGCCTAAAACCTTCTGCATGCAAAGCAAATTCTCTACCATTGAGCTGTGGCTCTTCCCTACTAGAATTTTGGTTGCTGGTATACACCCAAATTATAACAGACTTACAGCAGAATTAAAATATATTTACAAACGAACCTGGAGCCTCAAGTGAGGCTGTGTAAACACCATACATTCAAACCACACTTCCCCCACCTTCAAAGTAATTCCGGGAACTGTAGTTTGTTAAGGGTGCTGGGAGCTGCGGCTTTGTGAAGGGTAAATTACAATTCCTGGGATTCTAGAGTTTTCGTTTTGAGAAGGGTGGAGTGTGCTTTAAATAAATTGTGGGAAGTAGTTTGTGCAAAAGGGCTCAACTAGATACCACGCAAATTCCTTTTTTCTTTTTTCTTTTTGTGGTGGTGCGGAGGAGCTCCGCAGGGAGAAATTTAACTATTTCCTCCCTGCTGCAGGTCAATCACACTTCTAAGGCTTTGGGCATTTCATATATAAATCAAGATTGCACCTCCGAAACTCCTTCCCAATTCTTAAAAAGTGCAAGAACCCCGTATTAAAAAACTTCTCTCTCTCTCTCTCTCTCTCTCTCTCTCTCTCTCTCTCTCTCTCTTTCTCTCTCTCTCTGCACCGGCCAGCACCCGCCGGCCAATGCGCACCTCTTTCCCGACGGTCCGCAGTCACGTATTTTAACATTCACATGTGGCGCAGAGATTGCACCTCCGAAACTCCTTCTTCCCAATTCTTAAAAGGTGCAAGAACCCCGTATTAAAAAACTTCTCTCTCTCTCTCTGCGCCGGCCAGCACCCCCCGGCCAATGCGCACCTCTTTCCCGACGGTCCGCAGTCACGTATTTTAACATTCACATGTGGCGCAGAGATTGCACCTCCGAAACTCCTTCTTCCCAATTCTTAAAAGGTGCAAGAACCCCGTATTAAAAAACTTCTCTCTCTCTCTCTGCGCCGGCCAGTACCCCCCGGCCAATGCGCACCTCTTTCCCGACGGTCCGCAGTCACGTATTTTAACATTCACATGTGGCGCAGAGATTGCGCCTCCGAAACTCCTTCTTCCCAATTCTTAAAAGGTGCAAGAACCCCGTATTAAAAAACTTCTCTCTCTCTCTCTCTCTCTCTCTCTCTCTCTCTGCACCGGCCAGCACCTGCCGGCCAATGCGCACCTCTTTCCCGACGGTCCGCACGTATTTTAACATTCCCATGTGGCGCAGAGAGGTAGAGGAGGGACGGGAGAGAGAGAGAGAAAAGAAAAGAAAAGAACTCCACTCCCGGGACCAGGAGCCTCCGTCCGCTCCTTGTCCCAAATCGTTCCTTCCATACCCAACTCCGTGTTCACCCTCACCTTGAGGCGGTACACCGCCAGGTCCGCATAAGGAACCACCTGCTCCCAGACGGAGACCCCAGAGCGGTCGTACCAGCTCAGCCACCCGTCCTGCGACTCGCATTCCGCCACGAAATCCCGAAAGGCTGCATCGTCCGGGAGGCTCACGGGCTCCATCCTGCCTAAACAGAACGGGGAAAAAGAACAGGTGGCGACGGTGGCGCGGCAGGTAGGGGTCCCCCCATCCCCAGCTAAGCAAAGGTCCCTCCCGGCTCCCCGCTCCCCTCTCCCCCTCCACTCACCTGCGTTCACAATGGTCAAGCGTTACTACTGCGACTCCGGCGAGTGCGTCCCGTCCAGAAGTCGTCGCAAGCAAAGTCACGGCAAGAAAGAGAAGAACCCTCGGAGTCGCGGGTATGTGAGCGGCTCTAAATTGCTTTTCGCGGGCGCTGATTGGCCGGGGCCGGCAACCGGTCCCCTTTCCCAACGCTGCTATTGGACGAAGGTGGCCAGCTTGCTCGGAGCGCTCCGTGTCCAGCTAGCGATTGGCGAAGTTGGGTCGGCTTGTTTAGACTACTTGTTTTATTTATTTAACTTTTAATCGGCACCATTTTATTGCACTTTTGCAGCCGAGGCCTTGGAGCGTCAAACAAGCTGACTTGTCAAGAGAGGAAGAGGAGGGGAGGGAGAAAATATGAATAAGGGGAAAGGGCAGCAGCGCAGCAGCAAGAAACCTAACACAAAACTCTTAAAAGTGCGGTGAAGAGCTTTAAAATGGGGGTGGGGGTGGGAACCATCGTTTACATTATTCAAAAAACAAAACAAAAAAGCCAGCACCCACCACCCCTCAATAAATTCGTTTCCTTCGTTATCATTATTCTATGCTTATGATAATATTTTATTCTCTTGTTAATTATGCTGTTTTAAATGTGTATTTTATATTTGACTTCACCTAGCAGTTTTTTTTTTTTTTGGGAAATGTTTAAGATTTTTGTTGTTAACTTTGTGTTAAATATGTATTCTGTAGTTGACCTTCTTTGTAACGTTTTATTTCGAAATCTTTAAGCTAATACTTTAGTTTTCTATTAATTACGTTTCTTTGACTGTATACTCTATATTTGACTTTCTTCAGAAATGTTTGATTCTGGACTGTTTTAATATGCTGTATACTGCTTTGAGATTTTTCTTAAAAATATAAAGCGGTATAGAAATGAAATTAATAATAAATAAATAAATATTTGTTGAATTTGTCAGTAGCTTTTCTTTGCGCTGGGCAAGCCAAAGTGATTTACAACCCAACAAACAGGCGATAAACCCCTAGATTAAAACCAAGAGGAAAGAGAAATACATAAAAATGGTGCATGCACACGCACACGCGCGCACACACGTCTAAAAGGCAACGGGTAGTTAAAGGCTAAAGGCCTGGTTATATTGGAAAGTTTTTGCCTGGGACCTAAATATATGCAAGGAAGGCATCAGAAGTGTTTCCCTAGGGAGAGCATTCTGCAAGTAGAGCGGCCTGAGGTGATGATCACATGTCTGGGTTGGGTCACATAGGAAGAGGTAAAATTTTATCATTGTGTATTGGGTTTCTCCCATGTAAATTTTATCATCAAGATAACTCACCAGGTTTTCTTTAACCAATCAGTTATGGTGGGGGAGGGTCCTTCATTTTTCCATTTTCGTGCAATATACTGTTTTGCCACTGTTAGCAGTGTACTAATCAGCTGTATCAAAAGCAGAGTCGTTTTAGGATTTCTTGGAAGATTGTAGCCTGTACTTGTTTGTATGAGTACTTCTGTCCTGAAAGGTGTGTGTGTGTGTGTGTGTGTGTGTGTGTGTGTTTACAACTCCAGCAGATATGTACTAATCTATCTTAATTCTGCTATACCTCCAACAATGCATGTTTCAGCCAAAGATATCACTAATTTTGTGCAGAACTAAGTACCATTGGAAATTTGTCTTAAGATAATTCTCCTTAAGATAATTCTCACACTAATAAACTTTTCTCCAGTATTTTTTAAATGCCCATGTCCATTCTGTTTCAAAGATTGTTGACCCAATATTTGCTAAGTCCTGTTCAAATGAAAGACAGGGAGATAATTTTGCATTTATCAAAAATATTAAATAGATATTTGTTATTACTTAAGTTTTATAATTTTGCTCAAAAGTCTTTAATGTGGTAACCTGATTATTTAGCTTTGAACTGTTATCCTATATGTCTCAGTTGGAAAAGAATTATAGTGGGCATACATGATTATTATTGCTGCCTGTTCATATGAAATAATTTGTTGCTGGCACAAATCAGCTGCTATAGTTTAACAAATTGTTCAATTTTTAAAAAAACATACATTGTCAAAATTGGTTGTCTGCAAAACCATTTCCAAGGTCCCTGGAGAAAATGGTGGAAATACTATTTTTGAATAAAGACACCATAGAAATAGCTTATATTTTAACCCACCAAAGAAAGTTGTAGGGTCTGCCACTTTTTAGTATCTTCATCTTTTTGTGTGCTTATGTTTCTGCAGTTATGATTGACAGTTGTTTGTGAATCTGGGTCCAAAGTACTCTGTTGAGCTATTTTTAAATTGAAACCCAAAATCTTTGTAGAAGGTATTTATCAATTGAGTTGCCAATATTTATTCCAAAACCAATTGATTTAGCAGTATGGATCTTGTAACCTGATGCTTTCCCAAAGGTCATTTTTTTTTGTATTGATGTTTCTGGTTTTGTAAAAGATACAGTGGTACCTCAGGTTAAGTACTTAATTCGTTCCGGAGGTCCATTCTTAACCTGAAACTGTTCTTAACCTGAAGCACGACTTTAGCTAATGGGGCCTCCTGCTGCTGCCGCACCGCCAAAGCCCGATTTCTGTTCTTATCCTGAAGCAAAGTTCTTAACCTGAAGCACTATTTCTGGGTTAGCGGAGTCTGTAACCTGAAGCGTATGTAACCTGAAGCATATGTAACCCGAGGTACCACTGTAATGCTATTATCATCTGCATACAGTGAAATTTTAAATTCCATTGGTTCATAACAAACTTTCTAATGGGACTAAAAAATTGAGAACAAAGCAGAGATAATGTGGACCCTTGACATCTGCCATGCTGGATTCTTAATGGCATTGATAATTAATTGTCAACAAAAACATTTGCTGTTGAGTCCTTATATGGGAAATCAATCCATACTTTAAATCTCCAACTGAGATTCGTATCTTGAAGAGTTCTTGCTATACAGTGGTGCCTCGCAAGACGAAAGTAATTCGTTCCGCGAGTTTTTTCGTCTTGCGATTTTTTCGTCTTGCGAAGCATGGTGTCGGAAAAGTTTTGGAAAAGCTTCAAAAATACCAAAGTCTTCAAAAACCTCAAAAAAGGCTACCACACTGCGTGCTATGAGTTGCTCCTCGAAGTCAAGTCGCAACTGTATTAACAGTTTTAAGAAAAAGGAAACAAACTTGCAAGATGTTTCTGTCTTGAGAAGCAAGCCCGTAGGGAAAATCGTCTTGCGAAGCAACTCAAAAAACCAAAAACCCTTTCGTCTTGCGAGTTTTCCGTCTTGCGAGGCATTCGTCCTGCGAGGTACCACTGTAACAGGCTTTTCTGCCCTTTCAAAAAAAAAAAGTGAGTTGAGGTGAGGGGCACCAAAGCCCTCCTTTCTTCATGAAATTTACCCACCCACCCCAAATTTAAGCAAAAGTACTGTATTTTTCGCCCCATAGGGCGCACCGGTCCATAGGGCGCACCTAGTTTTTTGGGGGGGAAATAAAGGGAAAAATTTTTATTTCCCTCCCCAGGCGCGGGGCTAGGGCGGGGGAAGCCCAAGCTTCCCCCAACCCCAGCCCCCAGAACAGGCAGCTCTCCTCAAGCCGTGGGAGCCCAGCACGACTTTGTGCCGGGCTCCCACGGCTTGCGGAGAGCTGCGCAAAGCCCGGGGCGTGCTCTGCTTTCCGCCCCGGGTTTCAGGATGAAGGCTGCTATCCGCAAGCCTAGGGAGCCCGGCAGGAACTCCCGCGGGCTCTCCAGGCTTGTGGATAGCTTCCTGAAGCCTGGAGAGTGAGAGGGGTCGGTGCGCACCGACCCCTCTCGCTCTCCAAGCTTCAGCAAAAGCCTGCATTCGCCCCATAGGACGCACACACATTTCCCCTTCATTTTTGGAGGGGAAAAAGTGCGTCCTATAGGGCGAAAAATACGGTAAACATTTGCATTGATCAGTTTTGCGGGACTTAACCCTGCTACTTTTACTTCTTTAAGCCCCTCTTAAAGGTAAAGGGACCTCTGACCATTAGGTCCAGTCGTGACTGACTCTGGGGTTGCGGCGCTCATCTCGCTTTATTGGCCGAGGGAGCTGGCGTACGGCTTCCGGGTCATGTGGCCAGCATGACTAAGTCACTTCTGGCGAACCAGAGCAGTGCACGGAAACGCTGTTTACCTTCCCGCCGGAGCTGTACTTATTTATCTACTTGCACTTTGATGTGCTTTCGAAATGCTAGGTTGGCAGGAGCAGGGACCGAGCAATGGGAGCTCTCCCCGTCATGGGGATTTGAACCACTGACCTTCTGATCGGCAAGTCCTAGGCTCTGTGGTTTAACCCACAGCTCCACCCATGTCCCTAAGCCCCCATTACCCAACTACAAAATACAGATGCTTGTTTGTTTCATGAAAATGGGGTGCAGGTGAGGGGAAAAAGAGAGAATGCAAGGAAAATTTATCCCTAGAACATGCAATAAAGTCTTGTGGCACCCTCGCAACCAAACTTTCATTATTGTATAACTTTTTAAGTGGACAAGAGGCCGTCAAATGCAACATTATTGTTATCAGAGGGAAGCTCTGTTTTGTAAAAGGTTTATGATGGAAACTAAGATCTGACTCTTTCCCATCCTTTATTATTTATGAAGTGAACTGAATAACACTAAGAGGACTTGGAATTTAATCAAATCATCAAATATAGCATGCAGGGGGCACTTTATCTAAATTATATAATTCGGTATTTGAATGATTGGTATTAATAATTGCATTATGAATTGGTATTGTTGTAATAAGGCTATTATTATAGGGACGCGGGTGGCGCTGTGGGTTAAACCACAGAGCCTAGGACTTGCCGATCAGAAGGTCGGCGGTTCGAATCCCCACGACGGGGTGAGCTCCCGTTGCTCGGTCCCTGCTCCTGCCAACCTAGCAG